CCCCAAGAGTGGCCTCAGTCGCGCTTGTGCTGACGACATCGGCGGCGCGTTGCAGACCCTGCAGGGCCTCCGCACTCTTGCTCGCATCATGGCTGCATCTGCTCGCGTGGCGCACTTCTGTTTGGAAGCTGTCAAGTGCTTCATCGCGACTGTGGCGTCAGCGTTCACGCCTGAGCTTGCGGAGAGGATTCGGGCCTACATTCAGTTTGTGCTACCGTCGTGGGCAGATAGGCGATAAACTATTTGATCTTGGGATGTGGGTGGGACTTGGAGCGTGTCTGCAGGACTCTTGGACCAAGCCGTGTTTGAAATGCCAGTCCAGGGCGAAAGCGATTGGCCAGGGAACCCAAGCGACCTTGGTTTCTGGACAGCTTTACCAAACTCGTGCTCTTCCTGCTCTTAGCGACGTTATGCAATATCTACCACTTCCTCGTCGTGCGCTTCAGCTAGAGCTACGCGCCCTCGCATCTGCCTTCAGGGCCCCGCTCGGCACCTTTTAACGCCTCGGCTTGGATGATGTTGCGGGGGTGGAACGGCCCCCGTGTCACAACCCTCCTGCCCTTGTCGACGGCAGCACTTGCGCGTGTGGCTATTCTGACCATCCCTGATCAGATCGACGTTAGCCTGGCTGGTAAATCGGGCTCCTGTGGGGGAGGAGGGCGATGCTTGCAGACTCGCGGTTGCACCCGCACATCGACGATTTCCTGATCATTGGAAGTGTACAGCGTTTGTTGAGTTCGGGAAGGAGGCGCTCAGAGGTTCAGGATCGAGGGCTGCCGCTGCTGCTTCTGACGCAGCGAGGGAAGCTTGCCGAGACCATCGAGAAGTGCAGAGAGCCTCGCACGCAGTCTGTTGCCTGTCCTTGCCCACAATGACTCTCGATGTGTTGTTCCGTGAGCGGGTGGAACAGCGGTGGCCTGATCGAGCTATTGCAATGGATGAGGTTGACGTTGAGCCGACGCGCGCCCTGCTCTTATCTGTCCCGCCCTCGTGGGCGTGGGCCTGGCTTCGCACGATGGCTGGAGGCTGGATGATTTCTCACCGAATCACGTCGGCTCGTGGGCCTGGCCCCTGCATTTTCGGATGTCTTGGTTGCCTCGACAGACAATCCCACTATTGCATATGCTCTCGCCTCGGTGGCGTCACGTTTGCTATGCTCGGGAATCGCGCTCTCGCTTCGGATCCGCTTTTAAGATGAGGTTCACGCACTGCACCGTCCAGACCTCAGAAGAAGCATATATTGCCGTGCGCATATATCACACTTTACGCACTTTAGAGCCTGAACGCGCGCAAGCACAGCTGCGGTCCGCGGCGAAGGCCGCGCTCCGTGACCTCAGGCTGACCCGGCCTGACGGTGCTGCTGTTGCTGTTCCTCTTGATCCTGCTTCCTCCTCCTTCCCCTTCCACGAATGAAAGCGCGGCTATCCGCGTCGCCGACGCCTTCGAGGCCGTGTCCAGCGAGGCAGGCCAGGCGCCCGCGGCGCCGCCGCCGCCGCCACCGCCCCTCCCCTCCCGCCTCACGCTGCGGAGTGGAGGCGAGGCCAGAGGGTCGGTGGACGAACTCGCCTCTCCTACGCTTCGCTCCTCTTCCAATTCCTCTCCATCCTCGCACTCGCACCCCTACTGCTCCACATCCTCCCCTCTTTCTTCCTGCTCTCCTCCCCCTCCTCCTGCCCCTCCTCCTCCTCTCTCGTCCCACTCCCCTTCGGTCTTCCACAAACACGTTTATGTGTCCTGTTACCCTGTCGCCTCATGATCCGGATCCGCTTTCCAACCCGCGCGCCAACACTTAAATGTATTTCAACCAACCCCCTCAAAGGCTGGTTGAAATACGTGCCCTTTTTTCGGCCCCCTCCTCGTCACCCACCTCCTCCTCGTCAAATCCCCATCCCCCTCGCGTTCGTTCTCGTGCCCTTACTCCGCCTCCACCTGCCCTCATTCTTTTATGTCCTACTTGTTCTCCTTCTTCTTCTCTTTCGTCACCCTTCACTTCGGTTTTTCACAGAATATGTGCGCGTTCCTACTTTTCCGTCCTATTCAAGTTCCGACTCATCATCCCAACTATCGCGCCAAGCACCCCGCGCCATTTCAACCAACTTCTTTACTCCCAAGAGGTTGGTTGAAATACATGCCCTTTTTCGGCCCCCACGTCCTCGTCCACCTCCTCCTCGTCTAACTCGTCATCCTTCTGGCGTTCCGATCGTACCTTTACTGCCCCCTTCCACCCGCCATGTTTCCCATCTCCTATGTATCCTTCTTCTTCTCCCTCGGCACCCTCGCCGTCGCTTTTTCAAAACATATGCGTGTGTTCCCTCGTGTCCGTCCTATACAAGTTCTGGCTCAACTTTCCAACCATCGCGCCAAAAACCTCGCGGTATTTCAACCGACGTCGTTGCTCCCAAAAGGTTGGTTGAAATGTTTGCCTTTTTTCGGCTCCCGCCTCCTCGTCCACCTCCTCCTCCTCCTCCTCCTCGTCCAAGTTCCTCATCCTTCTCGCGCGCCTACTCGTGCCCTTACTGCTCCGCCTCCACCTGCCCTCATTCCTTCATGTCCCAGTTTTCCTGGTACGTTTCCTTTTTCTCTCTCGCCACCCTCCCCTTCTATCTTGCACAGAATACGTTTGCGTTCCTTCTTCTCCGTCCTATTCAAGTTCCGGCTCAACTTCCCAACCATCGCCACACAAACCTCGCTGTATTCCAACCAGCGTTTTTGCTCCCAAAAGGTTGGTTGAAATACATGGCCGTTTTCTGCCCCCTCAGCGGAAAAGTAGAAGAGTGGAAAAGTGGAGAGTGCTACACTTCTCCATTTTTCTATTTTTCTACTTCTCCATTTTTCCACTTTTCCAATTGCCGCCGCATGTTTCCACTTTTCCACTTTCCGCTTTTCCATTTTTCCAATTGTTTTCTACTTTTCCGCTTTCCTACTTTTCCGCTTTTCTACTTCTTGTGCTTTTCCCATTTCCGATGTATTAAATGGCTTTTCAATTTTTCCATGTTCCATTTCGGGGCAGGGCGTTTTCGCGCTAATTGGACGAGACCAGATTTACTTCCTTAGCCATGTCGGGGCCAGGGACGGCTTGCGCAAATACGGAGTAGCAGCGAGTGGAGTAGCATTGCATTCCTCTTGTCTTTCTTCCTCTTGGTCTTGTGCTCCTCTCCTCCCCTGCTGCTGCCTCCATGGTGGCATGCACGTTGCTTTCATCGCCGTTTGGGGCCCTTGAGTCTGTGGCACGCAGCGCGCAGAAGTATGGCATCGTGAGGCATCTTGTTGTGTTGTACTGTTTCCACAGGAAGGGCGCTCCAGGCAGGATCCCGAGCAGGATCGGAGGAGGAGGAGGAGGAGGAGGATGAGAAGGAGGAGGAGGAGGAGGAGGAGGAGGAGGAAGGGGAGGAGTGGGGCGCTCCAGGATGGATCCCGCCCCCGGGTTGGGGGCGGCGGCCCGGCGGCCGATCGCGGCCGGGCGGCTCCGCCGTCGGGAGAAAGATGCGGCAGGCCCGTGTCGTGTCGACGCGGCGGCGATCCCTGCGGTTCAATGGGGGCCCAAAGAATATTCACCACCACCACGTCGATTCCTCCTCTCTCTTCTTTCCAGCGAGAGGGAGGTGGGGAGGGAGGTGGTAGTGGTGCATATTTTTGGGCCCCCCATTCAAGGTTGAACGCCGCTTGTGGCTGGGAGCCGGCATGTACCGAATGATCTGTACAACCGAGAGGCCGCGATCGTTCGAGGTTGAACGATCCGCCCCAAGGGATGGCAAGATTTGTGAGCCCATCGTCTCTGGAGCGAGCCGATCAGGCTCCAGGGGCTGTGGCGAGTAAGGCTGTCTGCTGCTCAGATGTGTGTGTGTGGAGTGTGAACGTGGGGGCACGTGTTTGTCGCACCCTATCCCTTCATTCTATGTCGCACCCTACCCCTTCATTATTTTTTCTTACTCGTCCGCCCTTCGTCCTCCGTATCTCGCTCCTGCTTAAGCACTCGTTGGAGGTTTTCGTGCCAGCGCTCCTCGTCTACATCGCCGTCTCCCCTTCTCTTCTGCCTCCCCATCCCCGTCCCTCGCCCCTTTCCTCCTCGTCCCCAGGCGGCTCTACGCTTCGCACGCACGCACTGCGGGCACCCTTCACCTCGCGCTTCTGCGCCCCGCCCCCCTGATGAGGTGCAACTCGGTGGCCTCGGGCTGGCCTCGCCTGCGCTGCGTTGGGAGCAGAGAGTCCCCCATCGTTTCCTCAGCTGCATGAGATCGCCTATCGTAGCTCGGCTCTTGTGGTGCTCGTGGTTTGCCCGGCGACCTTCCTGATTCGCACAGCGGTCGAGGCCGAGTCGGGTGAAGCTCCGAGGTCGCGTTCCCTCCTCCTGCTGCTCCTCCTCCTCCTCTGTAGCGGCTCAAGGCCATGGCACCCGCCCGTAGGGTGCAAGTCTCACCGAGGCGCTGTGAGCACCAAGGGCGGTGCTTGGCAGAGCCAAAAAATTCGAACAGCTTGGCCGCGCACCCTTCACATGCTCCGTGGTCCCATAGGGAGCGCGCTCCACCGAAGACGATTCTCACAACTGCACATCACACACGCATATGGTTGCGTCATCCGACAAGGTACTGTTTTGTCCCTCCAACTCCTTCCCGTCCCCCTCTTTCTCCCGTTCTTTCCTCCTCCTCCTCCTCCTCTTCCTCCTACTCCTTCTCCTCCTCAACCTGCGCCCTTCGACCAGGTGACTGGTCTGTCGATCCTCCTCGTTTTCCGTTCGCCCTCCCTTTCTCTTCTTTTTGCCTCCTCCTCCACCTCCCCCTCCACCTCTCAGACGTCGTTCGCCGACAAGGTATGAGAGTGCGCATTATTTCGATCGTTTTGCAGGAGGTTGGGGCGAGTTAGCCTAGTGGGGCAGCAGTCCACTCCCCTCCCGCCTCCTCTTCGAAGGGGTAGAATGCCGATGCCGCCACGCTCAGCTGAAGCTGGCAGCAGCAATGCACGTGCAGACCTGTGCGGGTCCCCCCCTCCCCGCCTCGGCGAAGGACGAGGACGCGAAGGGCGAGGGCGGTGGCCGCCGGAGCCGCGACGACGAGGACCGCTGCGGGGGCGTGCAGCGGCCGCGTCGTCGTCGTCGTCGTCGTCCGTCGTCGTCTATTTTTGTGGTGGTGGTCGTCGCCGTCGTCCGTAGTCGTGGTCGTGCTCGTGGTCGTGGTCGTGGCCGCCGTCGTCGTCGTCGTCGTCGTCGTCGTGGTGATCGATTTTGTCGTCGTCACCCTGGCTGTGGTCGTGGTCTTGATCACGGTCGTCATCGTTGTCGGGGTCGGGGTGAGGCTCAGAGGTGGGGAAAACGGAGGTTTGTGAAGTGGGCTGGGGGCGGGCACGTTCAAACATGTTCTGTCCCTCCTCGTCATCATCCTTCTCCTCCAGTGTCCAAGTGTAAAGCCAGGGTTGCAATCTTCCCTTCGTTTTCAGGAGGCCCGACGCAAATTATCTTAGACACAGTTTCAGAAGCTTCCGGAGTCCCAGAATGCACAGACATAAGTCTCGAGTGTACTTTGCGTGGATGCTGGGCTTGCGTGCACGACCGTCGGTGGACTTGTGATCGTGTCACCACCGTCTGCAGTTTCACGTCTCTCAGCATTTGAATCTCTGTGTTGGTTCCTCCGTTCGCAGGCTGAATCACGGGCATCCGAATCGTCGCTCTTTAGAGTTGTCGTTGTTATTGGTATTACCATGATCATTCGCCTCCTCGTCCTGCGTCCGTCTGTTGCGTGGCGTGTTCTGCTCCATTATCCTCCTCTTGCTCCGACGGCTTTCCTTGGGAGTGCCAAGGATTTCTTGCGGAGCCCAACGGGTTCTCAACAACGAAAGAGCTCGTTCTGTGGTCGCTTGGAGGGGGGGGTTGGAACCGGAATGGAGGGGGGGGGTGCGGTTCGAACCCCCCACCCCCCACCCCCACCCCTCCCGTGACGGAGGGTGCGGGGGGGGGGTCGAACCCCCCCCCTTCCCTTCCTCCCCTACTTCTCCTCTCTCCCTCTCCTCGGTCCGGCGCCTGCGTCGGCGGCGGCTGGCGGCGGCGGCGGGGACGACGATGTCCTTTCCTGGACCGGCGCCGGCGCCTGCGGCGGCGGGCGGCGGAGGCGGGGAGCGTCGTCGAGGACGACGGCGGTGGCGGTGGCGGTGGCGGTGGTGGTGGTAGTTGTGGCGGTGGTGGTGTGGTGGTTTGTTGTGGTGGTGGTTGTGGTGGTGGGTGGTGGTGGTGGTGGTGGTGGTGGTGGTGGTGGTGGTGGTGGTGGTGATGGTGGTGGTTTGGTGGTGGTATGGTGGTGGTTTGTGGTGCTGGTGGTGGTGGTGGTGGGTTGTGGTGGTGGCGGTGGTTTGTGGATGTGGTGCTGGTGGTGGTGGTGGTGGAGGTGGTGGTGGTGGTGGCGGTGGTTTGTGGATGTGGTGCTGGTGGTGGTGGTGGTGGTGGAGGTGGTGGTGGTGGTGTGCTGGTTTGTGGTGGTGGTGGTGGGTTGTGCTGCTGGTAGTGGTCCTGGTTGCGGCGGTGGAAATTAGTGGTGTGGCAGATTATGGTGGTGGTGGTAGTGGTGGTGGGTTCTTGTGGTGGTGTTGATGGTGAGTTGTGGTGGTGGTGGTGGTTGTGTGGTGGGTTTTTGGTGGTGGTGGTGGTGGTGGGTTGAGGCGGTGGTGGTGGTGGTAGCGGCGGTGATGGTGGTAGTGGTAATCGTCGCTGCGTCCCCGCCGTCGCGAGGGGGGGGGGGTTTGAACCCCCCCCCCTCCCCCATGGGCTGCCTCTGGTCATCGTCGCTGCGTCCCCGCCGTCGGCGCTGTTGGCGGCCGCCAACGCCAGCGCCGGCGCCGGCGCCGAGGGGGGGGGGTTGAACTCCCCCCTCCCCCCTTGGGAGGGGTGGGCTTGGGGGGGAGGGGAGTTCCCTTGGTTTTGATCGACGGCGCCGAGTGATGGGGGGGGTGCCCCCCCCCTGGTTCGAAACGCGCCGTCGAATGTTCCCAAGGCAAGCGCCCGTGAAACGCGCCGCCGAATGTCTTTCAACAAGGAATCCGCAGGAACCCGCGGGGATCGCAAGTATTTTCCATTCCTCCCAGCAATAAATGGGACGGGCGGGGGGACGATCGTTTGTTTTTTCTCAAGCATCCTGTGGTGTTGGGTCTTCGTTTTGAAGAGACTGCGCCCCGCGTCTCCTTCCTCCTCCCGCTGCCCACTCCCTCCCCTCTCATCATCATCATCATCATCATCATCATCATCATCATCATCATCATCATCATCATCATCATCATCATCATCATCATCATTATTATAATCATCATCACCATCACCATCAGCAGCACCATCATCATCATCATCATCATCAGCATCCTCATCATCGTCATCATCATCGTCGTCGTCATCATCACCGTTATCGCCATCATCATCATCATCATCATCATCATCATCATCATCATCATCATCATCATCATCATCATCATCGTCATCATCATCATCGTCGTCGTCATCATCATCGTCGTCTTCATCTTCGGCACCACCGTCATCACCATCGTCGCCATCATCATCATCATCGCCGTTATCGTCAGCATCATCGGCACCAATTTCGGCACACCTCTCACACGTTTCGTGGCCCCATAGAGAGCTCCACCGAAGGCCCCAGTGGTTGCGTTCGTATGCGGCCACCGCGCCCATGTCGGTACACCCCTCACACGCTTCGTGGCCTCATAGGGGGGCTCCACCGAAGGCCACAGTGGCTGCGTCCGCATGCGGTTTCACCCCATTTCGGCACACGTCTCGCACGTTTCGTGGCCCCACACGGAGTTCCACCAAAGGCCCCAGTGGGACCGTTCGCATGCGGTTCCATTTCCTTGTCGGGGCGCCCCTCGCACGTTTCGTTGCCCCATAGGGAGCTCCGCAGAAGGCCCCAGTGGCTGCATTCTCATGCGGTTCCACCCGCCATTTCGGCACACCCCTTACACGTTTCGCGGCCCCACAGGGAGCTCCACCGAAGGCCTCAGTGGCTGCGTTCGCATGCGGTTCCACTCCCATTTCCGCACCCCCCTCCCACGCTTCGTGGCCCCATAGGGAGCTCCACCGAAGGCCTCAGTGGCTGCGTTCGCATGCGGTTCCACCCCCCATCTCGGCACACCCCTCACACGTTTCGTGGCCCCACAGGGAGCTCCACCGAAGGCCCCAGTGGGACCGTTCGCATGCGGTTCCGCCCCCCATGTCGGCACACCCCTCACGCGTTTCGTGGCCCTATAGGGAGCTCCACCGAAGGCCCCGGTGGCTGCGTTCGCATGCGGTTCCGCCCCCCACGTCGGCACACACCTCACACGTTTCGTGGCCTCACAAGGAGCTCCACCGAAGGCCCCAGCGACTGTGTTCGCATGCGGTTCCATTCCTCATTTCGGCACACCCCTCACACGTTTCGTGGCCCCATAGCGAGCCCCACCGAAGGCCCCAATGGCTACGTTCGCACGCGTCCCGGAACACCCAATTTGGCATTTTCACCACCAGCACAGCGCTTCGTGGTCCCATAGGGAGCTCCACCGAAGCCCCCAAGTGGGACCGTCCGCGTGCGTCCCGGAAACCCAAATTTCAGTCAGCCAGTACAGCTTTTCGTGGCCCATAGGTAGCTCCACCGAAGCCTCCAGTGGGACCGTCCGCATGCGTCCCGGAAGCCTTATTTGGCATTTTCAGTCGCCTAGTACACCGTTTCGTGGTCCCATAGAGAGCTCCACCGAAGCCCCCAGTGGGACCGTCCGCATGCGTCCTAGAAGCACAATTTTCAGCCAGCTAGCACAGCGCTTCGTGGCCCCATAGGGAGCTCCACCGAAGCTCCCACTGGGACCGTCCGCACGCGTCCCCGAACACCCTGCTTGGCATTTTCACCCACCCAGTACAACGCTTCGTGGCCCCATAGGGAGCTCCACCGAAGGCCCCGGTGGGACCGTCCGCATGCGTCCCGGAAGCTTTTTTTTTCCGTATTTTCACCCACCCAGCACAGCGCTTCGTGGCCCCATAGGGAGCTCCACCGAAGCCCCCAGTGGGACCGTCCGCATGCGTCCCGGAAACCCAATATGGGATTGTTCAAGCTCCACCGAAGGCCCCAGTGGGACCGTCCGCATGCGTCCCGGAAACTAGTTTTGCATTTTTGTTCCCACCCAGTGCAGCTCTTCGTGGCCCCATAGGGAGCTCGACCGAAGTCCCCAGTGGGACCGCCCGCATGCGCACCACACACCCAATTTGGCATTTTCACCCACCCAGTACAGCGCTTCGTGGCCCCATAGGGAGCTCCACCGACGGCCCCCGTGCTACCGCCCGCATGCGTTCCCCCCCACCCAGTGCAGTGCTTCGTGGCCCCATATGTAGGGAGCTTCACCGAAGAAGATATCCACAATTGCGGTACCCACAACTGCATATGATGGAGTTTTTCGCCTGGATATGTTTGTTGGGGGGAAGAGAGGGGGGAGGGGTTTCCTCTCAAGGAGCCCAGGAGAATCCAAAGGAAGTCCTACGACTGTTCGAAGGAATCCGCAGGATGTCTGACGGATTCGCAACCGTATTCATCATCATGTCCTGAGGAGTTCGAAGGGGCCCTCGGGGATCGTACGCATTCCTCCCCACGTCCCGCCGAAAGGAAAAGTGCGGAGTGGGGTGTGCAACATGTTTTTGGTTCCCAACCCATCATGTGGAGTTGGGTCCTCGTTTTGACGGGACAACGCCCCGCGTCTCCTTCCTTCCTTCGTTACTTCCTTACTTCCTCTCCTCCTCCTCCCCCTCCTCCATCCCATCCCATCCCCGCCTTTACCCTCCGCATGTCACTGTTTCGGCACACCCCTCACACGTTTCGTGACCCCATAGGGTCCACCGAAGGCCCCAGTGGCAGCGCCCGCATGCGGTTCCACCCCAAATTCGGTGCCCCCTTACACGTTTCGTGGCCCTATGGGGAGTTTCACCGAAGGCCCCAGTTGCAGCGCCCGCATGCGGTTCCACCTCCAGTTCGGCACACCCTTCACGCTTCGTGGCCCCATTCGGAGCTCCACCGAAGGCCCCAGTGGCTGCGTTCGCATGCAGTTCCCT